GTTTAACATGTTTAACATTTAACACAAGTATGGGTATGGGTATGGGTATGGGTATGGGTATGGGTTGGGTTAAGTTGGGTCGGGATTCCGATCAACTTAACTCGACCTGCAAAATATACACCCTCCACCCAAAATCCAACTCAACATGTGTTTATGGTGACTTCACCCGACCCACCTTTCGAGATAAAAATTGAACCTAAAATATATTTAATGGATTAAAAGTTGATCCAGGTGTCAATATTTGATCGGAGGGGCACTAGAAAGAGGTAGAAGATTTCTAGAAAAATAAGTAAAGTATACAAATGGTCCCTTGAAAATAGGATACAATTTTATTGAGTCCCTGACTATTAAAAGTTACAAAATAGTCCCCTAATTATAGGAGTTGTTTTGTTGAGTCTCTTGACTATTAAAAGTTACAAAATGAATGTATGATTATTCATTGTGTTCTAAACTCATCATTTTTTGTTAAAAATTTAAAGACAGACTGAGTTGGACGTACACCTACTGTTTGAGATATGATAAAATATAATCTCATAATCTCAAACGACTATCATATATCATTCAGATGTTAACATACAACTCATACGAACATTAATTTTTCAACGAAAAAGGGTAAGTTTAGAACATAATGAATATTCAAGTGGTCATTTTGTAACTTTTAATAGTTGATGGACTCAACAAAGTAACTCCCTATGGTTAAAAAGATCATTTTATAACTTTCAATAGTTGAGGACTTGAAAAAATAATATCTTATAATCTGTCACTATTTGTATACTTTACCCTAGAAAAATAATAAAAAAGAATCAGAGTGGAGGAGGAACTAAACGGTAATCTCCGCCCATCCTTGAGAGCTTTGTGTCTCATTCAACATCAATACTCTATTTAATTTTCATTCAATGGCACGGAAACTTATGATCCATCCATTTTAATTTAATTTAATATTTAATTATATCTTTTTATGTAAATAAAGTTGTTGATTTTATTAAAAAGAAAAATTATAATGAAGTTTTAACTAAACACGTAATTAGAATTTTTTATAACTATTGATACAATAAATTAGTCACTCGAGATCATTCAAGATCATACACGAAAAAAGTTAAACTTCATCCAACAAATCAAAATAAAAGATAGATACAAACAAATTAACTGCATAGGTAAATGAACCACAACGAGAGATTAAACTAATGAAAGATCATTGATAATAGCAAATTAGAATCGAGCATCATGAGAAAATTATATACGAAAGCAAATTGAGTATCCAAGTTCAATTCGAGATTCCAAAACAATGAAGATCAACGGGATAACAAATAAATTTCATATTGATCAGTCGAGATAATGTCAAATATAACCCTAAAAAAGGTCAAACAACTAAAATCGTGTCACGAATACAAAAAAAAATGTGTCATAAAAACAAAATTATTATAAACTAAAAAACACAAAGGTATAAATATGAATATAAGAAAATAAATGAGAAACAAAGAATATAGGCGATCTACAGTCAACATTAAGGTTAACATCGTCGTCTATGAAACCAAAATGAAAAAAAAAACCCGAAGATTATAGGTAGAAAAAAAGACTAAAATTTAATTTATATCTTATAATATTGATCTTAATAGTAATTACATAAATATATTATTGTATTATGATTTCTATATTATTCTAATAATAATAATATATTACTTGTAAAATCTCTTTCCTGCAAATTAGTTTGAGAAAGTCTCCTATTGCGATCGTGTATATTTCAATAATAAAAACGATAATCACTTGGGAGCCAATGGGGCCAGTCTTTAACTACACCGTGGAATACGAGTTCTGGGTAATGATAATGTGAACTTGTAGACAAATTTCACACCCAATCAAATAAACTGAGATTATTTCTTTCCTATTTTTATGTTCTTGAAGTGAAATCAGTACGAGTTAAAAAAAATTCATATTATATAAATTTTTATTTTTAATAATTATATAATTAAATTTTAAATAATTTTAATTAATATTTTTTATTTTAAATAGATTCATTATAATATAAGGTTGATTCCACTGAAAATATGTTTATAGATTAGTAATAGAACCAACCTAACAAGAGGTGGATGTTTCCGATAAAATTGTACATTTTTTTAATAATTTAATTATTTTTCATTCTATGGCTTCTAATATATATTTTTAATTTTTTACTTAGTTTTTGATAATATTTTTAGCAACTTTTGAATATTTTACTATTTTTATATTTTTTAAATTTTAATAATTTTTTATTTAAAGATGAAATGAACCGTCGAATATTAAATTAAAATCAACTTATACATTTAATTTCGATTAAAAAATTAATTAAAACTCTCTGTCTCGATACCCTTCATATGCATATTGTCACATCATCCTCGTAGACGGTTACAAAAGCCATGTGGAGAGTCATTTTAGCACATTAAACTAGGCATAATAACAAAATTACTACACAAAGTTTGTACAAATAGTAACTTTGCCCTTTATCTTTTTTTTGGATCATTTTAGCCCCTAACATTTTATTTTAGGGCAAAATATCCCTGATTCAAAGCTTCCTATTGACATGGCAGGTCCATGTGTGATGACACATCATCAAAAAATTATTTTTAAATATACTTTTATAAGTTTATATGTAATTAATTACAATTATAGTTTACTTAAAAAATATTTTTTGTTGGTATGGCATCACATGGACTTGCCACATCCGCATGAAACATTAACTGTCAGCCAACTAATGATTTTCATAAAAAAAATACAGTTCAGACGTTGAAAGCTAAAACGCTCCATAAAAAAAGAGAGGGCAAAGTAACCACGTTTACAAACGTTAGAAAGTAATTTTGTCATTGTGCCTATTTAACTATTATATTAACATTATAACCATCAACGTCACTCGAAGAAATAAATTAACACAATCAACTAAGTTTAGGGTAAAATTAATACAATTTAAATTAAGAACAAAATTAATGATTTAAATGTATTAAGAAAAATAATAAATTTTATCCGGTCAAACCCATTTTAATTGTAAAGAAAAGGTCAAACCCTTTTATCTTCGTCTGTGACCCCCAAAGACTACGTAAACATAATCGTCTTAAGTGATAGAGAAACTAGCATAGTTATCAAAGGTTGAAATGGTTTAAATTTATCATTTATAAATATTAGTTGTGGATTTTTACTTTAAATTTATTTTAATTTGAATTTTATTATATATAAATATTATTTAAAATCATTCTAGTTTATAATCAAATATAATTCGCATATATATTGCACCGATTATTTTTTTTGTAATTATACAAATCTATTATTTTTAATTTTAATAATATTTTTAAAAGAAATAAAAGAAAGTGACGTATATAATACTAGTAAATTAATGTATTAGAAAATTTGTTTTTCTCGTCCGATTAAGATATAATACATGAGAATTGGATGACCACATTTTGGTGCTGGGGCCGGCCTCAAAATAATTATGAAAAAATAAACTTAATTTTGGATTAAAGACATCAAATCGATCAAATAAGACAAGATCCATTTTTTATGGCATGCATATAAAAGGCTTAATACCCTTTTTCACCCTTGAACTTTATCCAAATTGTTAGTTTGGCAAATGTATATTTGTTCTTAATTATTCTTACTATCATTTTGTCCATCATTTTACTTCATCACATCCATTTTTTCAAAAAATACGATGTGGCTCAGCAAGAGGTTGTTATGTGCACTAAGAAGTATTTAGACCTTTATAAAAAACAGATTTTAAATAAAATTATTTCTGTTCAAAAAATAAATTAGCTATAATTACAATTTTGAAAAGAATAGAAATTCAAAACATAACTTATAAAATTCTGAGAATTTGTTAAAGATTTTTTTTATAAAAATAGCTTCTTCATTTTTTACATTTTAATGAATTTTTAAAATTTTATAGGTTTTATATTTTTATTCCATTTTACATATTCTGAATGGAGTATATAATTATGTTAATGGTAATGGTGACGGGATACAGTGATGGACATAATAATAATAGTACAAGGGCCAAATGGAGAGAAAATTAATAGAGAGGTCAAACAAAAATTTAGGTAAAGTGCAAGGGTCAAAAGTGATATTAAGCCAATACAAAATTCGTATATTGTATAAAGACGTAAGTTAAGGAAGTTTTGAAGGTGACATCATAATGTAACTATGGGGAATTAATGGACAAAAGACATGTGTTGCGTTTCTCTCGTTTGACTGAATATAAATATTTTTTTTATTGATGTGATACATATCACGTTAATATTTTGAGCTTATGATATGTCATTATTTTTGACGTATCATATCAAGAATAAGCGTGACTATTGGTTAATGATTTTCATTCAATTATGAGATATTTTGTCTCAAAATCAAATGCTCAGAGTTAAAGTACTAAAAAAAGAATACAAGTCAAAGTAATTATCTATTAAATATTTGAGAAATTTTTGGACATAATAGTTAGCTAACATTTAAAAATACATGTAATGTGAACCCATTGAGTGGTCTTAATGTTTAAAGAGAGTGTTGTTTTCCTTAAAATCCTAGATTCGAGTAGGGTCTCAAGATATATATATTATCAATAATTAAAAAAGATTATGAATAAATACCACATTATAACATTCTAGAATATTAAAAAAAATACATGCTAATGTTACGCGATTGGTTGTAGCTGTTTTGATTCTGATGGGTTAGATCTTTGACTATTTATGGACTTTCAGGAACTCCAAATAATGTTGTCCAACACAAAGGAGCAAGTAATAGAAATTTTTAAGTCTTTCGAACGATCCCTATCTAGAGGAGAAGAGAAAATTTTTGTTCATGATGAGTATTGAACTCAATCTAAATATTTATTAAAAAACAATTCTAAAAATGCTTTCATTATATCTATTACTCGGTATACAAATATCGAGAAAATAAGGTAAGGAAAAATGACAAAAATGATGTTACAAATTATAATAACATAGAATGCTTTTTTTCTACCATCACATACCTATGTTAAGCCATTCAACCTTGAACGTAAAATATATATAGCAGCGAATTCCCCATCTACACCTTTTAATTTCAAAATGTAAAAAGAAACCGACAAGATTCAAAGTTACATTTTTCTTTAAATGAAATGTGCATTTAAAAGCATTAACATAAGATGATCAAACACTATCACAACCTACTTTGATTATGCTATCCTCCTTGGAATTTCCTACTCATCATCATCTTCCTGCATTTCAAAAAAAAATGAGATAAGCCCAAATCACCAGAGTCCAAAATAAGCCAAAAGATCCGTACACAATTGAAACAACATGAAAAACTCACATCTCCACTGCCTTCATCATCTTCCTCCTCTTCATCTTTCACCTCCGACATAGACTTCTCAGACTCCAATTCATCATCATCTTTGGGACCCTCAGCCTGAAATTAATCCAAAAAAGGTCATTAAATTTTAGCTCATCAAAAGAGAGTGTAACAAAGGATTTAACTTTAAAGATTAAAGAAAAATTACTTGTCTCTTATTGTAGGCTTTCATGTTCTTTTCATACTCGGCCTTTCGTTTCTCTGCCTTATCAACATAAGGTCGTTTTTCCTATAACCATTTATGTCAAACTAGTCAGAATGCATTTTTTTTATGTATTTAATTAAAAAAAAAACAAAGCTAAAAATAGCAAAATACTTACAGCCTCAGACAGGCTCTTCCATTTATCTCCACCAGCTTTGCCAACCTGAATTTGAAAGCAAAAGGAGAAATTTAAAAAACACAAATTATAAGGAAAGGAAAGAAACCTGAAAGAAAAGTTCATACTTACTGCAGCAACGGATTTGTTTTTAGGGTGCTCCTCCTTGTATTGCACACGGAACTCCTCCCTTAAACCACGAAACCAACATTAACAAATTAGATAAAATATGAAGGAAAATCAGCAAAACCATCCTCGAAGATCAACTATGCTATGACAATAAGAAAAATAGTTCAATTCACCTCTTCAATATAAACGCCAGAGTTTTCCGCGAAGCAAACGCAAGAAACCAAATACATTAAAGAAAACAGAGATTCATGAATGATTACATGAAGACGAAGAAGGCGCTAGCAGGTCTCTTTGGCTTGTTTGGATCCTTAGCCGCCTTCCCCGATTTCTTTCCAGCCTTTTTGGTTGATTTCTTATCCACGGAGAGCCTATAAATGAATAAAAAAAAGTCAAATTAATAGGAAACGTAAATCCATATCAGGATCGGAGCTCTTAGAAGACACGATTCGATTCGAAGAAGCTAAAGAAAAAACGAGATAAAAAGGAGAAAGGCTTACTTTGCGCTCTTGGTAACCGACTTGGATTTACCTCCCTTCATGTCGAATCCTGCAACTAAAATCGCAAATTGGGAAATTGAGAGATAAAAAGGCAGTGGAATCGATACAAAAACGACAAGAATCGAAGGGAAAATACCTGGTAGAGCTCTAGGGTTAGGGTTAAGGGACGCGATATGTGATAAGAAATAATGAGGGGTGAACCTCGAAAGGCAGAGATAATGACCAAATTGGGGCCGGGGGGTTTAGGCGGGATTTGGAATTTTTGCATTCCACAACACCCTTTCGTGTGCTTTTATTTTTGGGTAAATTATCTATTTATATTTCCGTGATTCTATTTAGTTACTCAACATTTTTTAAAAAATTGTATTAAACATGTTTTTGGTTATTTTTAGTCACCTTCTATTAAATAAATAAATAGAATTATTGATTTGATATTTTTTATTTTTCAATGATGATATGATGTTACGGTATGATGATATATTATTTAATAACGGATGATTAAAATAGTATTAAAATGTAACATTAGATATAATTTTTAAAAAAATAGTTAAATGATCAAAACAAAACTATTAGAATAAATGTATGACTAAATATATAATTTACCTTTTATTTTATTGATCACATGACTTCTAAATATTACATCTTAGAGAGATAAAAAATTTTAGTCTTATATAAAAAAGAAAAGAGAGATTTTGAAGTTTAAAAACATTGATGTGATTGATGTTACGCATTTTAACTTGTGTGTATAAATAAAATCTTATTACATAATATAATTTCTTTTTAGTTTTACATAGATTTAGAATCATAAGATGAGTAAAAATATATATTGAGATTAACAATAGAAAATAAAAATATATTCACTGGAAAAAAATAATGAGTTAATCTCAACCATTTATTTTACTCATCTAATGATCTAAAATATATGTAAAATTAAACGAGTTTTACATTATGTAAATCGATCATAAATTTTTTGAAAAGAAGATAATAATTCATGACATAAATTTTTTGCTTCTCATAATTATCTATGCTCTCTCATTGGATTTTAGAGTTATAGACCATCCCTAGTTTCATATTAGTTTTGAAAAGGGAAATTTAAAATTTAATTATTTAAGATTATTATAAAAAAATATTTTTTAAAATATAAAATACTCATTTTATACATGTATAGGTATCAATTTAAAAATCGATTAAATTAAGTAATTGATGATAAAAATATAATTTCATCCAAAAGTAATTTTTCATAGTAAAAATTAGAAATTTGAGATTTTGAAGTTAGATTAAAAATCACTTCAACCATAACCAACTACCAGTTGGTCTAGTGGGATGAGGCACTAGGTCCCTTAATTAAGGTCAGGGGTTAGAATCCTTACATTTGCGAATGGAGCAAACTGAGTTGAGAGGATCGCCCTCGCCTCTGCAATACCCAATCTGAATTAGTCGGTCTATAAATCAGATATCATTGATTAATTCAAAAAAAATCACTTCAATTAGACAACAAGATCAAATACTAACAAACTAATGAAACCTACTTGATTAAGGTGAAGTTTGGATAATTTGGCTCAATTAGACAACAAGATCAAATACTAACAAACTAATTTTCACCATTAAATTGGTTTTTAACTAAAAAAAGTATGTATTGTTCAACAATATTTTGCCTTCAAACTAGTTTTTAAATGCTTTCAAAAAGTTATAAATTACCTCTTGTTTTATATTGGCTATACAATTATATTAAACATACAATTCACTTCAAATTACAAATATTAAATATATGTTTTTTTTTTGTAATTTTTGTTGGGTGAGTAATTATTTTCTTTGATTTTAGATTTAAGTAATATAAAACATTGTATATTTTAAATTTGAAAAGGTTATGTTTGTTTGTGGTTTATATTTAAAAAGTTAGATATTAACTCAAATTCTATTTAATAATTAAGTTGAATTTTATTATAATTCTAATTGTTAAAAATGACTTGAGGATTAACATGAACATAGATAATATTATCTCAGGAGATGATAAAGTAAAACTAATTAGAGAATCCAACAAAATAAAATAACATTCATTGCTAGAATAGTTTTAAAATACATTCAAATCCAACCTAATAAAATGGAATGTGTCGTTTTTTCATGTCACAAAAGTTATTTATAATTGAATCTACACCAAATGTTTTGACAATTTCTTTTTCAATATACAACAACAAATAATTAGATAAAAAATTCATCTTCAAACTTGTTACGAAGCTTACTTTTAATGATGTTTATCGTTAAAAAAATCGTTGTTTAGTGGTTGTAGAAACCGGAATGATAAAAAAGAAAGTAATGTATTCAAGATGATAAACCTCAAACTCTTTTTATTTTTACCATCCATTGACACAATTAAAAATAGTTTCTAAACTTTTGAAATCTTGAAGTCTTCGCACATGATCAAAATGCTCAAATTACATCCTTAAATGATGCATCATCTCATGTTCAACAACGTCTCGAGAATAAAAAATTGTGAACCAATTGACAAATGTTATCAATTCTAAATGAAGAGTTCATCTCATTTGAATCTGATGTTAAACTAAAAGTAAGCAATTTCATTGAAAGATCATTAAATATATCATTCAATTCTTGCAATTTAGTATCAATCACATTATTAAAAATGTCTATTTTATAATGATGCTCCAATGTAATGTCATCTTGTTCATGGCGAGCTCTTCCTTCTTTTGCAACATTATGAGCATTCAAATACATAGTAGGTATGGTAATTGAGTCATAAAAGGATCTCACCTTAATAATTAGGTTATTTCATCCTTCAACCCTTAATTTATAAAGTAACGACATAGAACGTAAAACAAGATGCATCACATTTAAAATGTTCCAAGATTGTTGTTGCAAAGTTTGATATAGCATATCAGAAAATTCAAGAACTTACCTCGTAAGATCTAAGATAAAAACAAACTCAAAAGAAGTTAAAGCCTTACATGTTGCATTTGTTTTTGCACGTTGAGCTAAAGTAACACTATCATCAATAATGTTCAACAAAACTTCGCATGTTGCACTAAATATATTGATTAACCTATAAATGAATTTTAAATGTGAATTACATCAAATATCTCTTAACCTTTGTAAAGGGCCAATTTGATTAATTTCTTGTCCACTTTAAAGTTCATCAATATCAAGTAAAAAAAATAACATTTATAGCATGAGAAACTTTTTATTGATCAGTACGCTTGCATGATGCACAAACTATATTGATAATGAAACTCGGTTTGATAAAGAACTAATGAATACATGCAACTTCTTTTAAAACGAAAACTAACATAAATTGCAATGGATGTGTCATACAATGAACATAATAAGCATATAAGCATACACTTGAAATCAAAATATGTAAGTCATTTCACTCACCTCTCGTATTATTTGCACCATCATAGCATTATCCTTGAATGTTATGAATATCAAGATTATATTTGGGAAAGGGTAAAAAATATATTATCATTTAATGTAGATGCAATAATGTCTTAACAAGTCCAAAAAACTCACTCTTTTAAATGTTCATTCTTAATAATATATCTCAAAACAATATATATTTGCTCTTTTTTTTTTTTTTTGCATGATCTCGAGTTCCATCAACTATTATACAAAACTTTTTATCACCAAAATTTTCACGAATGACATTTTTTATTTTATTTGAGAGGACATGTAAGACTTCTTTTTATATTTGTGTCGAAATGTATGTAGCATTTTTTTTTCTTTTGAAACTTCTTCTATAATTGTTACTACCTCGTCATTATAAGATGTAGTTGGATAAAATTTATCGGCTTTTTGTGATGTTTTGCTTTCATCATCATCTCTAAAAATACGTCCTTGAGATACAAACCATGTAAATCGGACTATATTCTTCACAATTTGTTGAGATGAAAATTATTTATTTTTTTCTTTGAACATTTGAAGATTGATTAATAAGGTCTGCACGTGCTATTTCAACATTTAGATGAGGAGAATTGCGATCTTTCTCAATATGTGCTAAAAATAAACAATTTTTCTTCATCTCTTACCTTTTTTTTTCAATTTCGAAATCCATTAACAGTAAAAACATTTAAACTAGAAGGACTATTTTCCTTGTGAAATAGAACAACCCTACCAATCTCTTCCATTTCAATTTTATCTCGTTTTATTTTTCCAGCAAAAGAGGAAGAATAGTCAATCAATGCGAACGAATGAAGAGATACCAAGTGCCAACGGAATTCTCAGTTTACAAATACAAGAAAACTTACAATCATAGCATCTGTTTTATCATTTTAATAACTAGCATCATCTGTTCTGTATTTACATTTCGCATAATTACTGCTTGCATGGCAATGGCAGTTGCATCATTGTATTTGCTGCAGAGCTTCAATAACCAATAATATATATATATATATAGATAGATAGATAAACCAAATTGTCAATGATAGCAATTATTTGATTCACTGAAAAACTGCTACAACATATCTCTCAAGATTCAGTTTATTTACACAGGACGGGAGTAAGCAGATGAAGGAAGAAAGAAAGTAAAAAAGGGTTGAACATCTATCTAATCCTGCCAATCCCTACAAGTACAACCTACCTGAGTTATCTCAGATGTGCAGGATTTAATAACTCGTAAAGAATCACGTGCTAACTATGCCCTTCAACGTCGATGGATGTTCGCCTGCAGCCACTTGGGAGAAACATGCCACCACCATTTGAACTCCACCGTCTTTATGCACAGCCTCTTTTCATTTATCCGCTATTTCATCAGTTCCCATCCAGCACACCCTTTAGAAAATTCAGTCCTTCCGCTGATATGCTCCTCCGAACACGGAATTGGGGTATTTCTATTCGCGGTGGAGGGTCTGTGGAGAAACAAACCACGATTACTGTTAAATTATCGCAAGTGTTGCGTTTCAGTGCCTCCCTCACAAGCTCTCTTGAACATCTTTCAGGATCATTATGAAGCATCAGCTCCTTCCTTGCCACAGTCACTGCACACTGGCTACTCATAACATCCCACAGTCCATCGCATCCCATTATCAAGAATTCATCCTCCTCACTTAACTCTGTCTCCTGCAGCTCCGGCTCTGCACTTAAAGGACAGGCAGATCCTTTTGGGCCCTTCATGTACCAATCTCCGAGTGCTCGTGCCACAGATAATTGACCATTGAGGTAGCCATCATAAATTACTCCACCAAGCTTCTCAATTCTTAGTCTTTCAGATGTGCAATTAGGTTTGTGGTCCTTGGACATTTCTATCGCTCTACCCCGCCTTCCCAACACAGCTCGACAATCTCCAGCATTTGCAATAATCAAGGTCCTGTTAAGAGAGTGTATTGTTAGTGTCTTAGAGAGACATAATCCTTACTTTCTCAATACAAAATTATAGACTCGTAAACGACTTTTAAGTCCAGGTTCAACTTGTAAACTAACATATCCTGCTCATGCTTGAAATAGAAACAGAAGCAGAAGTTTTGCTTATTCTCTACCTCTAAATTTATTTTGCTAAGCAATTAAAATTCATTATAAATGGCTTTCCCACATAACCTCGAACGACGAACACCATATTAAGTTTCCAAGATGAATGGAATCCCGATTCTATTTAACATTGTATGCAAGTTTTAACTTACTTGACCGTCTTCTTCAAATTGCTTGCAATGTAAGAAGAAAACACTTCAAATCATTCGCATTTTGCCTTTATTTTTTTTATATATTCCTTTCATCCAATCTTTTTTGAATAAAACTAATAAATGTAAAATACCATGCTTGTTTCAAATGAAGACCTTATCATGCCATGACTTGATGAACAATACCTAAAAGGAAAATTACTAGTGCAGATCTGTTGTTAACTTTAACTAACCTTCCGAAAACAAGTGCAATCAATGCGGTGGTGCCAGACGATATATCAAGAGAACTAGCATCCGCAAATGAGTAATCTGCTTTTAGAAAAGCACTCTTGATTGCCTTCTCCACACAAATTGGAAAATGCGAGTCTTCAACTATGAATTTAAGGATATTCTTCCTAATATATAAGGCTGCATCTGTTCCTCCGTGACCATCAAAAACCTGTCCAAATGCATCAGAAAGAATCAGTACATGAGTAGTGTGGCGAACTATGCTTCCAGTGCCACCCTTTAAGGTAATTGTAAATGAGAGAACAAACAAAATGTAATAGAACAAACCAAATATAATAGAAATGACATGTCCAGACACCTTAAACCTAGACAAGAAGTAGCCAAGTATAAGGAGGCAGAAGATCAAAGGGAGAAAAGTACTATAAATTAATAACCATTCGGGGACAAAGGATTGTGTACTTCAAAAACTTATGGTACTTCAAAAGCTAATGTTAGACCTAACTGTTCATTTTCCTTGAAACCTGCACCTGACACCCATTTGGGCATGGTTATAGGGGTATGGTCCTCCAAATATATAGAAAAATTTGGGGGAGAAATAAGTATACCATGTTGGACACATAATATTAGATACTCCCAAGTCCGGTTAACTTAAGAAACTAATGCACATGGTTCCCATGTCTTTCCTTTTTTTTCTCCTTTGGACTGGGATAAAATCTCTAGATTCCCTTCTCTTTTCTAACGAAATGCGCTCCAAAAACCACAGCCAAACCTTCCTCCATATTAAACGCAGATGTAAATATAGTGAATGATATAGGCAGAAGCTATATCAATGAGGAAACCTGTTTTTAACCGACTAACAACAACCATACAACATAGACAAGCTGAAGGAAGTGCATAAATTAAATACTATTAATTAAAGTTCCCTACTTGAAATGATAACTAAGAGGTTCAGTAAAAGATTACTTATTAAACACACTCGTCAGATCATATAAGGAAGATTCTAACATTATCATACCCCGTAGAAAGCTCCCGGAGAAGGAACCTCCGCAGATGTCCCTAGATGTCCAATAAGATCGTCTATGCAAATGTGTTCATCCTCCATATACTGTTTAGGTCCCATTTCAGCACAGCTTCCTGATCGTAATACAGGCAAAAACTTGCTCTTTTCATCAGTAGATGACTTGTGGACTATAATACCAATATCCAATTCCTGGAGAAGGAAAAAGAGGCGTGTTAGGAAAGGAAGGGAATATCGACTCTAGTAACTACATAAGATTAAATAAGTGGAACGAAATTGCTAAATCTGATTTTATCTTCAGCCATTTCTGAATTGATGATCCAACAAAACATCAGATGAAATCAATTTAAAATCTTGCTCAAGTTGATAAGTTTCAACAAATTACAGTTACAGATTTTTTCTGAACAAAATATAATCCTTCTTTCTCCTAATATCTCGAACAAAATAGAGAAAGTGATGGAAGTTTACACAAAACAAATACAGGTCAGCTAGGCCTTAAGAACACCACTTCAAGATTTAAATGGAATACAATTCTAAGTAACTTGAAACTAATTGATAAGCCTTATGATAAAAGTTCAGATTTTATGTTCATTTAAGAAGTCCTTAAAGATCAGGCAGGCTCATGATATTCGATAATATGATCGAAAGAGGGATCAGAAGTTATCAAACATACCAAGTTAGCCTCGGCAATCAACTTTGCCGAACCCATGGAATGGCACATAACCGAGAGGTGGCGGGGAGGTTTACCAAGGGAAACCCGTTTTACATTATCCAAATTTTCATTTTCCATGTCTGATACATCATCCTTACTATAACTATCTTCTGTGATTTCACATGGAGGTGAAAAATCCATATCCGCTACCATATTACTTTCCCGAACATAAATTGAAGATAAAAAAACAAGCCCTTTCAAATTTCAAGCACTATAAAGCAATTCCTTCTCTAAAGTTCCCGGGGAAATGTCTCAAAAGGTTCCAAAAACAACCAAATCCTGAAGCAACTTCTCAAGAATCTTCCAAATCAAGCTTGAAGATTCAAGTATAGCCAAACTTCTCAAAAGTTTCTTACCACACAGATAAAATAACTGAAACAATCAAATGCCTTGTCGAAATCCCAACCTCAAGGAATCTGATACTTCGCACATCAGGGTTCCACGGCAACAATTCATAAATCTGAGAAAAAACCAATTCGTTGGGTAAAGATGTAGCATTACTAAAATATGAAGAGCCCAGAGTCAACTTCGAGATCAAACTATCTTAATCCAGATGGTATCAAAAGAAAGAAAAAAAAATCAAACTTTATACGATAACTAAGCCTTGAATTACATTTGGATCACGATATCCAACAGCCCATCTAAAATTTGGATTTTTACAATCACTCAAAGCAGTTGCAGGAATTTCTCCAAAAAAGAAACCCAGATCATAACAGGAGAGAAAAATAAACGAAAATCCTCACAAAGGGTAAGTATGATGATTCTCTGTGCTTTGTTTATGCCGTATTTTTTATCTTTTATTTTCCGGGTAAGTTGATCCAAGGGATATAAAAAGAGAAATGGGGAACGAAAAAACAAAAGGTAAAAACTTGGTTGTTAGTTCTTTGTTGGTAATGGTTGTGTGGATGGTTACCGTCAATTCCATGTAATCCGGTGAATCTTCTAAGGTGTCGTGGGCCGAAGATGGCGTTTGTGGCTCTTAATAATGGGTGGTTGACCGGTTAGTTGCGGCCCTAACTTGGTAGCCGTTGGATCTGTCTGTCTTGCTTTGTTTTAACTGTGGTGGAGATGAGAAGAAAGAGGGCAGGCTAGGTTCGTTAATGGAGCCTCGGGGGCAGACGTGGCAGGTTTTGAGTGGAAGGAAGTTTTAGGTAAGTTAGAATTATGGGCGAATAAAACATTACTCGATTTAAAAATTAAATATTTTAATTAGACTGGATATTAAAATATTTGACTAGACTTAACTTATAATTTTATAAATTTAACTCGACTTAAAAAAAATTAAATCCAAGTTGAATTATAAAATAAAACTTGAATAACTTGAAACCCTTAATCAAAAGTAGATTAATTTTTAAGTTGAAGTCGAGTTCTAAATTTTACATGAAGAACTATGTATGTATATTGTATGTAGTTATAAAAAATCGTTTAAATTTGAATTAAATAATATCATAATATTATAAATATTTATAATTAAATTAAAAAATTGAAAAGATCGAATCAATTCGACTTGAATTTTATAAATTTAATACAAATTAAAAAATTTTGAACAAAAATTTGAGTTATAAAATAAGATTCGTTAACTTAAATGATTCAAAATATTTAACTTGGCTCGATCGAACACTCAATCTTTATTAAAAATAATAGAAAAATAGAGTTTAATTTTTAGTTTATTATGATTTTGATGTACGGTTACGGTGTGGGTAAAATTTTGAAAGAACGAACCTCGCCAGTTAGGCGGTGGGTTTTTTTTTATTGAAGTGGAAAATATTGCTGGAATTTTATAAGATAAATAAGATGTCAATGGTATGTTACCCAGATTTGTAAGAATTTTAATTTTTATTAAATATATCTGATTTTAATATTTTATATTATAATGCTATTTTCTTTGATTTTATTCGCTTTTTATTAATTTATATATATATATATATATATTATTGATTTTTTATATTTTGATCATCGAATTGTAATTAATTGTTAATCTGATAATATAGAATATTAATTAAAAAAATAAATTTAACCTTTAAACTTTAAATGTTAAATATTAATCTCTAAACATCAATTTAATCTTTAAACTTTATGTAAAATATTAATTTCGTGTATTTTTTTTAGTCTCTTTTTGTGTCAACAGTTAGGTTTATTTCTATTTAATTTCCGAGTCATTTCTTGAGTAAAACCATAGAGTCAACCTATGTTTTCTTGTACTTTACATTCTTTTAGATTTATTGATTAATAAATAGATGGAAGCTTTGTGGCACAATTATTTGTTTGATTCATTCAAATCATGCGCCATAGCGGTTAGGATAAGCGATCTGAAGATTTACTTAACTTGGAGGGCAAGGATGATGGTAGGATTGTTTTAAATTAGTTTATGGTTGTGGGCAGAGTGCTTCATTAAAAGAGTAACTGCACATTTATTATTTTAGAAAAATATTTAATTTATTTTATTTTATTAATAGAAATTGAAAGAATAAGTAAATTTATGTACTCAATATTTTTTAAAATTAGAGTATTAAAATTTTAGATCCCATTCTTTAATTTTTAAACCCATCATCAATTGTGAGAAATATAATATTATCGACTAAAATGTTGAATCGAATATGAGCTCTAAATATCGAGTGATGTAGACCTTTTCTAGTATTCAATATTGGATTTAGGTTGTTCATGACTTCCCACTTGATTGGTTATCAATGGAAAATGTTGCAATTATTGGTAAAAGGTTGGATATGTGGATAGCATTGGTGATAAAATTATTGTATATTGGCTTTGTCTATTAAGAAACTGTTGGCAATAGAGATAATTTGGACTAAGATCAAATATGACAAATTTTATGAGTTTTGGAATAATTGATTGTTGTGGTTTGAGATGATTAGAAGAGAAATCGAAGAATAGATAAGAGAAATAGAGAGAATTTAGAGAGAATTCAGAGAAGAAAATACTTGTCATTCCTAACATAGAAAGCAGAGTGATTCTACAGCAGTATTATTTAGTTACAGGGCTACAAACGTCATTATAAAATTGCCAGCTGTCTGTACTAATAACAACCTATAACAGATTATATCTTCTCTCCTTGCAGGTTTGTTGGGCCACCTAACTGGACTGCTTCATTTCTCCCGTCTGAAGACTTGGGCTGGTCCAATATGCCTGAACCAATATCAAATAACTCATTTCCTTCAGGTAAACGCCTCATATCCCTCTCTCTTCCTTCAATCCCTAAATTCCCTTCTTCAATTCCCTCTCGAGCCTCAATCCCTAACCCTAACTCTCTGTTTTCCCCAATTGTTTCCCCAATTTCTTCTTCCCTTCCCCGCTCATCTCCTCGCACATCTCCTCCGACTGTAACAATACCCGCCCCTGGAAAGGATCCTTGTCCCCAAGGATCAAAATCAGGGAATTGGCCTCGAAGAACAGTAAAATCTTCCCATGTATCGCTGGTTTCATCGAGGTTCTTCCAACGCACAAGCAACTAAGTTACAGGTTTGTTCTGTCTGTTTATGATTCTTCGACCCATAATCCTGTATGGCTCGATTCTAATTTGTCCATCATCATCCATGGCAGGAGGGTCTCTTGAAGAGACACTTGAATCCCCGATGTGCTTCTTCAGAAGGCTCACGTGAAAAACAGAATGTAATCTAGAAGAATTTGGTAAGTCTAACTTATACGCGACTTCACCAATCTTTTCAATAACTGTATAGGGGTCGTAGTACTTTGCTGCTAACTTCAAATTCTTGCGCAGGGCCAACGAAGTCTGACGGTAGGGTTGCAATTTCAGGTAAACAGTATCTCCAACTGCAAATACTCTTTCTGTTCGTTTCTTGTCTGTGTTTTGTTTCATTCTGTTACTTGCATTCTCCAATTGTAGCTTCACTAACTGTCTAATATCCTCCCTACTCCTCATTAAGGCACTAACAGACTGCACATTAGTCTCTGTCTGCCAAACCATAGTAGGAGGCTTGTAGCCATACAATGCCTCAAATGGTGTAAGTTTAAGGGTTGTATGATAGGTAGTATTATACCACCACTCTGTATGTGTCAGCCATTTAGCCCACTGCTTTGGCTGAAAGAAACATAAGCCCCTCAAATACTGTTCCACACACTGATTCACCCTTTCTGTCTGACCATCAGTCTCTGGGTGGTATGCAGTACTAAATAGAGTTTTAGTACCTAGTTGCTTCATCAGTTCTCTCCAAAAGAGACTGGTGAATGTCTTGTCTCTGTCAGAAATGGCCATTTTAGGCTGGCCATGAAGTTTATAAACAGTATCCAAATATAATTTGGCTACATCAGCAGCTGTATAAGGATGTGATAGGGCTAGAAAATGGCTGTACTTAGTAAATTTGTCAACTACCACCAAAATGCAATTTTTCTTTTGAGATGTAGGTAAGCCTTCTATGAAGTCCATAGTAATAATCTCCCAAGCCTGTTGGGGAATAGGCAATGGTTGTAGGAGTCCTGGTTTAGGAACATGTTCAACTTTAGTCTGTTGACAAACTTGACATCCTCTAACATAATTTGCCACCATAGCCTTCAACTTAGGCCAATAAAAATTTGCCCTAATCCTTTGATAAGTAGCTTGTATTCCAGAATGTCCCCCATAAGGTGAATCATGTAAGAGTTGAAGAATTTGTAATCTTAGAGGTCCAATACCCCCAATATAAACCCTGCCCTTGAATCTAAGGATACCCTTAGAATATGTCCACCTAGGGTCAGCATTAGGATTGACTGGTATTATAGATAACCACTCAGTTGCCATTTTATCCCCTTTATAGCTGTCTTCCACTTCCAGTACCCAACTAGGAATTATTAAAGTAGTACCCATAGCCATATACTGACCTTGATCTTCCCACTGTCTAGAAAGAGCATCAGCAACCACATTGGACTTTCCCTTCCTATACTGAATAGAATAGTCCAGCCCCAATAATTTAGTCAGTCCTTTCTTCTGAATGGCAGTAGTTAACTTCTGCTCCAACAAATATTTGAGAGGTTCATGGTCAGTCTTAATGATAAAAGGACTGCTTTCTAAATAATGTCTCCATTTAGATACTGCCATTAGAATAGCAAGGTATTCTCTCTCATATATAGATAGGGCAGCATGTCTAGGGCTAAGAGCCTTACTAAGGTAGGCAATAGGTCTACCCTCCTGAGATAATACAGCCCCAATTCCTCCTGAACTAGCATCTGTTTCTAAGTAAAAACTCTTCCCAAAATCTGGTAGTGCTAACACAGGGGCCATACACATAGCATTCTTCAGATTGTCAAAAGCTGTTAGGGCCTCAGTACTCCACTTAAAACTGTCCTTCTTAAGCATCTGAGTCAAAGGTTTGCTGATGGTACCATAATTCTTTATAAACCTTCTGTAATATCCTGTCAATCCCAAAAAACCTCTCAAAGATTTTAAAGATTTTGATATAGGCCAATTCTTCATAGCTGCCACTTTAGTAGGATCTGTAGAAACCCCAGAAGCTGAAATAATATGCCCCAAGTACTCAACTTGAGTCTGCCCAAAGAAGCATTTAGACATCTTGGCAAATAATTGATTAGTTCTTAAAACTTCCAGAACTAATTGTAAATGAATGATGTGATCAGCCATAGAAGTACTATAGACTAGGATATCATCAAAAAATACTAAGACAAATTTTCGCAAGAATGAACTAAATAATTCATTCATTAAGGCTTGAAATGTGGCAGGGGCATTAGTAAGCCCAAAGGGCATTACCTTGAACTCATAATGGCCCTGATGAGTTCTGAAAGCTGTCTTGTAGATATCCTCAGGCTTAATTCTGATCTGCCAATAACCAGACCTTAAGTCAATCTTAGAAAAATAGACTGCTCCATGTAATTCATCCAGTAGATCCTCTACAACAGGAATAGGAAATTTATCCTTCACTGTCATACTGTTTAGTTTCCTGTAATCCACACAAAACCTCCAAGTGCCATCTTTCTTCTTTATTAAAAGACATGGAGAAGCAAAAGGACTTTTGCTTGGTTGAATAACAGAGGAGGAAAGCATATTAGCAATCTGCTTCTCTATCTCAGCTTTCTGATTATAGGGAAATCTGTAGGGTCTTAAATTGATAGGGTTAGCTTCAGGTTTAAGAGGAATAGCATGGTCATGGTTCCTTGTAGGAGGCAGTCCTTTAGGTTCAGCAAAAATAGAGTGATACTGATCCAAAAGAGGCTGAATAGCTGTAGGAGTAATCTTGGAATCTTCATACATATTGAAAAACACTACATGTCCCAAAATAGGATAATCAGAAGCTGTCATCTTCAATAAGGTAGCTCCTGAAATTTGCTGTAAAAAATTTGACTGCTGTTGACCTTGTATAGTAATTTGCTTCCCCTTATGCACAAAGCTCATTGTCATGTTTTTAAAGTCCATCAAGATTGGACTAAACAATTTCATCCAATCCACCCCTAACACCATATCACTGCCCCCCAACTGAAGTAGTCTGAAATCATGTATAAAAGAGTGCCCTTGCATCTTCCACTCCACTTCATTACACCTTGCTGAGCTATAGAGTTGCTGCCCATTAGCTACTGTAATAGCCAGAGGATGAAGAGTGTTTATCTGTATACCAGCCTCAGCCCATTGAGGGGTTAAAAAACTGTGGGTACTCCCACTGTCAATTAGTATATTCAGTGGTCTCCCTTGAATTGTTCCTTGAATCCTCAGTGTATTATGACCAATGCATCCAGTAATGGCATTCATAGATATTTCTAGGCTCTCTTCCTCTTGTAAATTTTGCTGTTCTGGATCATTAGCTAAAATTTCTGAAGGTAGGACATTTTCATCCTCAATCATCATATTCAACTGTTTTGCTTTGCACTGATGGCCTGGAACAAACTTTTCACCACACTTAAAACATAAACTGTTCTGTCTCCTGTAGTCTATCAGGTTCTGTTTTTGTGTTGGAGTGGTTGTATTCTTCTGTGGTAATGTTATCTGGCTAGGCTTAGAACCAGATAGAGGAACTGAATAAGCTGGATTTCTAACAAAAGGTTTGAACCTCTTGCTCTCAAATTCCACAGATAGCTCGTATAATTTAGCTTGCCTGCTTGCCTCAGACAATGTTTTAGGGTCTAAAGCTTTAACTCTGTGTTTAATGTCATCCCTTAGTCCACTAATGAACAAAGAGACAAAAAATTCCTCACCTAAAGTAGGATTCTGCAAGAGCATGTGAGGCTGTAGTTCTTCAAATCTGTCATGATACTCCTCTACAGACCCTTTTTGCACTAGTTTTGTAAACTCCTCCACTATATCAACAAAAGCTTTATCACAGAACCTATGACATAAATCTGCCTCAAACTCATGCCAAGTCACATGATGTTTTTGCATAATATACCCATCAAACCAAATCTCTGCTTTACCCGTCAAGTACATTGTAGCTACTTCCACTTTCTGTTCATCAACAATACTACATAATGAAAAATATTTTAGACATTTCTGTAACCAACCTCTTGGATTACTTCCATCAAAAAAAAGGTAGTTCAATTTTTTGGTCTATGCAGCATAATCCCTGACATGCTAGAGGACCCCCCTGTACCTCTTTTATCCACTTCAACAGCCATTAACTGAGTTCTAACAGCACTGTTCTCCCCCATTTGGTTATCGTTTTTGAAACTAGCTATGTGAGCAGGCAAGACGTTTGGTTTAGACTTAAGAATACCAGGTTCATCCGGTTTATAAGTAAACCTAGTCTTATCATTGATTACTGTCACCTTAACAGGTTGTTTGTTACTCATATTAGATGAATCAGGGGTCTGTACCTGGTCTTCAGACTGATTTTGGTCCTCCTTTCTACCAGTTAGAATCTTCAAGATTTCCTCCACATATCCATGATTTGTAGCCAATCTAGACTCCAGTGTAGAAATCCTCTCTTCCTGATTCTCCCACCATTTAGGTGGATTAGACTCATCTTGCCCTTGTTTCACCAGTGCTGTCAATTCCTCCATCTGTTTCTGCAACCCAGCTAAATCTTCTGCCATATTTTGATTTTTCTTGGGCATTCCACCACTCTTGCCAGCAACCGAGGCTCTCGATACCAATTTGTTGTGGTTTGAGATGATTAGAAGAGAAATCGAAGAATAGATAAGAGAAATAGAGAGAATTTAGAGAGAATTCAGAGAAGAAAATACTTGTCATTCCTAACATAGAAAGCAGAGTGATTCTACAGCAGTATTATTTAGTTACAGGGCTACAAACGTCATTATAAAATTGCCAGCTGTCTGTACTAATAACAACCTATAACATATTATATCTTCTCTCCTTGCAGGTTTGTTGGGCCACCTAACTGGACTGCTTCATTTCTCCCGTCTGAAGACTTGGGCTGGTCCAATATGCCTGAACCAATATCAAATAACTCCTTTCCTTCAGGTAAACGCCTCATATCCCTCTCTCTTCCTTCAATCCCTAAATTCCCTTCTTCAATTCCCTCTCGAGCCTCAATCCCTAACCCTAACTCTCTGTTTTCCCCAATTGTTTCCCCAATTTCTTCTTCCCTTCCCCGCTCATCTCCTCCGACTGTAACATTGATCATACTAGAAATCAATGTAAAGTTGTTCTACAAATTGGAAATAATACTCGATAATAACTAAAAACAGGATTAAATCATAGTTGATGATATATGACAGTAAATTAAAGGGCTATTCTGTGACAGATATATGTGATAATGTGTTTGAGATCTAACTCGGTTCATGAATTGATTTGCGCCACAGCTCCATCCATTCTTATTTCCCCCAAAGTGCCCTTGCACCATTTTCACTCTTTCAAAATGACCGCAAACAAATTGTTGTGAAAAAAATTGACTTTGAGATGACATTTTTATGCTGGTGAAGAACTGAGGATTCAGATTAGGAAATTGAATATCAAATGTGAGGTTTGAAATTTGAAGGAAGATGGGTAGTGTAAAACATATTGAAGAGACTGAGTTACAGTGCTTACCGGAAAACGGGAAGATTACAATAGATTCACATATTATTTCATATCAAGGATAACATTACGAGTTTAAAGTGTTAAACCAGAATCTGAATAATATAGCGAACTAGTTCATCCATATGGCAGATTCAATTTCATCAGAGTTCACAGCAACTCCATTCGGGGCATCTTCCGATTGAAGCTGCGCAGATACATCATCAATGGCTGAGTTCAGCTGAGCAATCTTCTCAGTCAGTATCTTCCGTGTTTTCTGCACAACAAACCCCGACTACTATTTACTACCATTCTGCTTTAAACTAAAATCTATAAACTTTAGGAGGAACATGTTTAATATGTAATCACCGGCGCTCTAATTTCAAAGCACACGATATTCAGGCCATTCCCTATTCCCTAATCCTTAGAAGCCAATAGTTATACACAAATACAAAAGGGTTTTGGGGGGCTTACCTCCAAAGCTTTTTCTTCATCATATATGAATTTAGGCAATCTCTTCATCAGATCCTTTCTATCAGCTCCAGCTAGTGCCTTGCTGATCTATTGAAGGAAAACAAGAAAACCCAAATTGACTATCAAATAAGTCGAGAAAAATAATACTACAGATGAAAAAAATGTCAAACAAATAATAGTTCCCATTGATCCAGACCATGGGTTTTAGTCATCTAAAACAGAAAAGTCATGAATGATTAAGTTTCGTAAGACCAGAACTATAGATGTGGTGCACAACTAATTGATAAATATATATAAGCATTTTACTTGAGCAGAAAAACAGAAAAACATAATTAAGAAACGAGATATTTTAGTGCAATTTTGCATTACTTGGAAGTCAGAAGGCTAATATCACCTGAGGAGCAAATACACATCCAAGTGCACCAACCACAAGTCCTCCCAAAATAAAACCTCCAACAAAGATGCTTGCACCGCTTGGCCTTTCACCATCACTAAGAACACAAGATGCAGAGGACTCCCATTGAGAATTTCGATAATTTTATGCTTGCAACATTACATTCAAAAACACAACAGAAGAGGGAACAGGAATACACACAAACATACAAACTTAAGCAATGTAACTCGGACTTAGGTATGAACTTCGGCTACAAGTCTAAGACATGGATATATTCAAAATTTTCTAAGTTTTTCCATGTATTTGGAGGGTCCTTGGAGTGTCATGTCTCCATATCCAATCCCAAATACTCCAATCCTTGGAGTATTTAGTTGATAGTGCTTTTATGACTGTGCACGAACCATTATGCATCTTTATGCTCCAAACTTGATCAAAGATGATACCTGTAGGAAGCTCGAACTGTTACTGGCTTTCTAGAGGTAGAAAGATGCAATTTTCCCAATCTATTAGAATTGAATGACAAGTTTGTGGGAATAGCAGAGCCAAAGCTTTGATCTGCTGTCTTTAGATGTGAACCTAGCGAAAAACAGAAAAGGCAGAGAAAGTAATGAACAAGATAGTAATACAGCTTTGGTGTAGAAATGTAGTTGAAATTAGAATTAATATTAGCTTATTTATGCAATTGTATACAACAAAGAGCAAAGATAAACAGTCTTCTGATTTCAAAGAAAGGAACGAAAATGATGATGCTATGATATTAAACCTGAAATCTGAATCAAAATTAAACCAGAATTCTTGCTGTAAAAGATCTGAACTGCTGAACTAAAATGAACAATCATGAGCAACAAGTTAACAGCTAATTCTTCAACCAAGGTACTACTTTAGCAAAATCTATCGTTCTCTCTCTTTCTTCTTTTTATACAAAACTTAAACTACCCACAATTCCAACGCGCTTAAGCATGCTTCAACCCTCCACCTCCAGATTGTTGTAACAGTAACACTCAATCAACATCTCTCTTTCATCTTTAGCTTGCAGCATTTGCAGTCAATTAAGTCATCGGGTTTAATGGAACACCAAATCACTTTTTTGTTTACAAATTTGCTAACAAATTTAACATACTGAATTACAAACAATTTAAAAAAAATTGTTTGACTATCCTTTCCACAGATTCAATATTGAAAAACGAATCAAAGTCCACGTACACAACGAAGATGGTTCATATTCCTTAAAAATAAAATCAACATTAATATCATTTTCACAGAACAAAAAAAACAAGTACAGTTTAGGGCAATTAAAATTAAGCAGGGTCTTTAAAGAAGAAGAAGAAATTCAAGGAAATTACTAGTATAGTACTAATCGCAGCTAAAATTTTAAGCTACTGAAACACAATCCAACTGCCTAAGCAAGAAAGAAATTAAAAAAAAAAGACTATTATGCATTAGAGCTAAGAAGTTGAATCGTGCACCAATTTCCTTTTTCAAAAAAAGTTAATTAGAATGAATTAACAACCAAAAAAGAGGTGAAGGAAACAGAGCTGAAGAAAGGGAATTAAATTACCAGAAAATGATAGATGGATTGGGAGATTTGTGGGTGAAACAAAATAATTTGGAAGTATACTCTTAGTGAGAGAGATGCAATTGAAAGGAATCAGATTCGAAGGAGAGTTGATTTTGACTTTGATAAGCCCTGGCTGCTGTTGTTGTTGGGCCGGGCCTAACTTCTATGGCCCCTATTGTTTGCTTATAATTCTCCAATTTAATATGTTTTCTCAGCATCCAAGACCATTACTACTGCATGAGATGGAGGGTTTCAACTTTCACGTTTGTCATGTTCTCTAAATTCAACTACATTCATCCTGGAATTTACAGCATCTATAAGGATTTAGCAAGTCTATTAAAGTCCGGGAAATTTGCCCCGATAGTTGGTTAAAGATATAAACAGCTTAATATCATTTGAGTAGATTCAAAATTTAAGGCCTTATATATGTAAAAAATTCCTACACGAAGACTTATTCACCAAAATCAAATGTGCGATACAGGTCAATTTAGATTAGTCATGACAAAATCTTAGGGAATAGAGAGGACAACAAAAAATTTTGACCCAAACTTATCTAGTATTGTCGAATGTTGCAAGGACCTGCTTTCTAGAGGTCCTTCCAACACAACACAAAAGCTATTATTTGCATAGTAAAACTCTCACCACCGAGAAAATACCTACGTAGATTTTTCGTTATAGCACAAAATACTACCATTATACGAACCAATGGGCAGCGACTGTAGACAGCCTAAGTTCACCATTTATTTCAGTAATTTAGTCACTCTTCGATCTTGAATGTGTATCAAAAGCCCTTACAAACTAGGGAAAAAAACCAAAGTAAACATTCCGATCCCAGCATTACAACAAATCGCAAGGTCATTCCAGTTGGAGCTCAGCTCTGCGGTTTGGACCAAACTATTATGCCAACTTTAGCACTTAATATTATATTTCATCAATGAACTCGAGAAGATCGTCAACTTCTTGCCTCAGTGCTGTAAGTTTCTGTTGCTGCAAAGCCACCCGGTTCTCGATATCACGGGCACCAGACTTCTTCTCATAGCCGTCCACCACTGTTGAGTGCTTCACCAACACCTTCTCTTGTAATTCTCTCTCCTTAGCCACCAGCTCCTCCACCTACACAGATAAAAGTATACACTTATACAATAAGAACACTGCCATATATCAAAGGTTTAAAAGTTACCAAAACATGATGTTGCAACAAATGGCAATTGGCAAATGTAAAAGGACAAAAAAATCCATATCAAATTGATTAAGAAAATGTGAGCAACAAAACCAAATAGTAAACGACAGGTCAACCTTGGGTAATACTTGAGCAGCTGACGGAGAAGATTGCAAGGTGGTCAGCAAGGGTTTCAATTCTTTGGACAGCTCTTTTAACAAACCATCAGCTGCCTTTCGAGCAGCTTTACAAGCTTGAATGTCCCCGGTCCTATAAAGATCACGTAGTGATGCTTCCAGCTTATCATGTGTTGCCAAGCATCTACTTACAATATTCTGAACCTGCTGAATTACTGCCTGAACCTGAAATTACAGATAGCAAAATCTTAAACCAATTCACTTGTACATGGTGATCCGGGATCAATAAATGGCATAATAACACCCTACAAACCTCTTCCCACTGTTGTTTAGCCAAATAAGAAGCAGAAGACTTGGAGATCGATATGTCTGCACGCATGTAAACAATGCAAGCAACAAAGAAGAAGAAAAATCCTGAAATTAACATCAGTGGCTCCCTAAGCATCGATAGTTTGTTGAACCTATAATAGACCTGAAAGATAAACAAACAGTAAACTATTAATATGAAAACCTAATGTCCAACATTCTGTGTTCGGAGGTGCCAGAGTTGAGTGGAGGATGCTAGAAGCACTGTGCATGACATTCAGACTGAAAATTGACAAAGAAAGAATACCTGAAAATATTGATTGTGCTCAGGCACGACATTAGTCTTTTTAAGCACAACTACTGGTCTACCATCAATATCCAAGTGGGAGGTCTTGGTCTGCATACAACCATAAATACATTATGTATAAAAGATCAAGGCCTTGAAACACAAAACTCAACACAAATATGACCCTTTGTAAGACAAGATATGGTCAAATGAAAACAGAAATCTTAAGCTAGAAAATACCTCACGCCACTGCTCCACGGGAAATGGTGCAGCTACAGATATGTCACTAGAACCCTCAGGCAAAACAACCTGCAATCAAAGTGCAAGATAAAGGTAAGCAAACAACTTTCTTATTATTCAATACAATGCAAATGTATCACACAAGCATGTATACTAGTCCTATGTTGATAAGAATACAACAGCATTGGGGCCCATTTTAGTACTTGGTAACTTGTCATATTCATGATAAGTAAAAGAATTTATTATATTCTAATTAAGAGTTGAAATAAGTACTTAAATACAAGTTTCAGGCAAGGTTGGAAAGGAAGTGATAAAAACCTTCACAATAAGAGTATCAATAACCAACTCAGCCATTGGGCTACTATAGGTGATATTAAGAAATTGCTTCCCCTCTGACTCATATAAAAAGTCCTGAAGCGACAAGCCATATCCAATGGTAAAAGCAGTTTTCCAGCCACCAAACATTGGGTACCTTGGTTCGATTAACAGTTCCGTCTGCAAAGACAAATTGTCCAACAATAAGAAGAAAAAAAATACCAAATGACAGACATTTTAAATCCTACTCAGCAGTATAACCTTTTTGGAGTCACCACGCAGATGAGATGTTGATATATTGCCAATTTCATCCCTGTAATAAACAGAATGTGCCCTTGGTGGCAAATTTGCAACAAGATACCTAAAGGCTGATGCACCTCGAACATTGGGCCTGGCCTGGAAATCAAGCCTGTGGTATCAAGGTAATAATTTAGAAACAAACTTCCAACCTGGTGTGGTGTGATGTTCACCATAATCCACAAAAAGGAAAAAAGTATGATGTAACCTGGAAAATTCACCCTTGCTTTGGGCACCACCATGGATAAGCTTGTAATGTTCAGTGACCTGGACATTACCCCAATGGGAAATTTCTATCTCTCTCACCAATTCTTGAGCAACAGCAAACGGTTGATTGCTTTCAAAATGGACTGCTATTTGGGAGTACGAGAACGCAGGGAGATTCTCATAAGGACCATATTTGATTTCTGAACCATGAATCTTTGTATTCTCCAGTTTCGTATAGGATTCGATTCTAGAATCAGGCAATTTAACAGTTAGATACTGAGCCTTGACGGCATAAGGAGATAGGTAGTGTGCACTATCCTGGTATAATACAAGCTGAATATCAGCCTGAGTGATTTGCTCAGGAAAGGGTCGCAGGCATGGGTAAATACAGCCAACACATCAAAAGTAAAGCTATCACCCTCAGCTAATCCCTTAGGCAAGGTTACCGAATAGAATGTTAAAGCAGAAGGCATGTCTTTGGGGTTGGCAACGGCAACAGCAACAGGGAGAGCAACAACAGGGTTTTTTACTTTCCCTTTCCCTTCGTGCGGGGTAGCCATCAAATATGCCATGTTTTTGGCTTGTTGCTCAGGAAAAGCCAGCAAAACCTCGGACGCCGTCTCAGGACCTGCATTCTCCACCTACAAGACAATATGACAGCAGATGTAAGAATACACAAAAAAAAGAGACAATCAAGTTGAAAGGCATCAGCAACTTGAGAACGAAAAGAAAAGTTAGTGTTACGGAAGCACCTTTAAAGTTGAAGAAACCCGAACAATGTGTGATGTCAAATATATCTGCAACACAAATAGGAACGATGTTAACATAAATATTTACAGCTTGCAACAATCAAAGATATACAACTACAGAAGCAGTTCAGATCAACCCAAGATTTGAAGTTTCAGATGGAAAAAATCTTCAGAAACAGCACCAAAAGCAGTGAACCAATCAGAGAAACGAACTCGCATGGAATACTAGTAATGATATTAAACCCTAGAAAGCTTGGAAAATGAAAAAAGAAGGTGAAAACTTACGCGTCGATCTACTTTGGAAAGGACCAGATCGGAAAGTGCCGGTGATGCCAAAATGGCGATAGTAAACATAAGCATGTAAAACCTTGAACTCTCCATTTTCAGACAAATCTCTACTACGATTCACGCGAGATTGACTCTCGTCTTCTGTCAAGAAATTGGAACTATTATAAGATTCTTGTGGACTGAGCCAGGTACGGTCAATAGAAGTCTCAAATTGGGCACTCGGTGAGTTGAGTTTGAATCACGAAGACAGCCCAGAGCATGGCTGGGCTAACCCACGAACTGCAAAACTTCACTTAGCCCTCCGCAACATCTAAAATTTGAAATCTGATTTTCTTTTTAAATTATCGATAAATTAGATACTATACAGATCCATATGAAGATGTTTTTTACTTTATTTAGAATTTTAGAATTTAAATTATGAATATCATTTAAAATATTTAATAAGAATAAAATGAACTAATTATTAATTAAAATATAAAATCTTGTTTAAGTTGAATAATGTTACTTTTCTAGAATGGCATATATATATATATATATATATATATATATATATATATATATATATTATCTAATGGTTGGTTATTTTATTCACTACTAAAAAACGAAATGGTAAAAACAAACAAAAGCTGCCTTGCTTTCTAAAGGAATAAACTTTTCCTAAATGCACTCTAACTGTGTTCCTAAAATTGAATAACAAATGAAAAGTAAATGCGTTAACCTATAAACCAGCTGTTCCTCTTCCATTCAAATTATCTTCATCGAGTGGCAATTTTCCCAATAAATCACCGATGATCGGTATATTTACCGATTTAACATCGGTCATATTATATTTCTCGATCTAACACCCGTAGCAGTAAAACGTGCCTCCTGAATCGCGCTATACGCTGATTTGACGCCACGTGGGTATAGCGCGTCCCCTGCCCCGCGATATGCGGTTATCTGGCACCACGTGGGTATAGTGCGCCTCCTAATCCGCGCTATACCTGGGTATCTGACACGTGAGGTATAACGCGGTGCAGGGGGCGCGCTATACCCCTAACCCCATCCTCAATCACTTTTATCATTCCAAATTCTCTCAAATTCTCTAAATTTCTCTCGAATACTCTATCTTTTTAAGGTATATTTTATAATATTTTTACTATTATGTATTTACTTTATTTAATATTTTACTAATATAATTCTTTTGCAGATATATAATGGAAGGCAGTCTACTTCGCTCGGATAGAAATCATATATCTCTACACTTTGCTGATACGGTAACATTTTAACGTTTTAATTTAATTTAAATTATTAGTAATATTTAGTTGATTTATTTAATGCATGATTATTAGATTAATAATTAAATATCTCGACACTTTGCTGATACGGTAACATTTTAACGTTTTAATTTAATTTAATTTAAATTATTAGTTGATTTATTTAATGCATGATTATTAGATTAAGAATTAAATATCTCGACACTCTGCTGATACGGTAACATTTTAACGTTTTAATTTAATTTAAATTATTAGTAATAATTAGTTGATTTATTTAATGCATGATTATTAGAGTAAGAATTAATTTTTGTAATTATTTATTTTTAGGAGAAGGACCGTGTATTAGATCATTTTATTAGGAATCTTAAGTTAGTGATACACAACCGTGTCTTGCCGTATTTAGTAGAGACTGGATTCGGTTACATAAGTAGATATCAGGGTCATTGTAAGATAGAGCCAGACCTGATTTCTGCCTTAGTAGAGCGGTGGAGGCCGGAGACCCACACATTCTATCTTTCGTGCGAAGAGTGCACGATCATGCTTGAGGATGTTTCTATGCACCTGGGGCTTCCAGTGGATGGAGATGTGATATCGGGGATAGCTTCCGGTTCTTGGACTACTTTGTCTCGGGATAGTCTAGGACGTGTCCCGGAAAATTTTATCGGATGTAGGATACCGTTAAATTGGTTAGATGCCAATTTTCGGGAGTTGAGCGCAGACGCCTCTGAGGATGAGGTTAAGATGTATGCACGAGCATGCATACTGGAGTTTATAGGAGGGTTGCTGATGCCGGACAAATCGCGCAACCTAGTTCACTGCATGTGGTTGCGACATCTTAGCGACTTTCGTCTCGCCGGATCATTCAGTTGGGGCTCGACAGTTTTGGCTTTGCTGTACAGGGAGATGTGTGGAGCCACTGACTACAGACGTAATGCTATCGGCGGATGTCTCCTACTGCTGTAGTCTTGGGCATGGTATCGATTGCCCTTTTTATGTCCTGTTGTGAAGAACATATTCGTATTTCTACTACTTCTGATCAAAAAATGTATAACTTACTCGTATGTCCTGTTGATTCAAACGTTCAAGGAAGTAGTTCGTAACCTGATCAAAAAATGTATAACTTACTAACTTGCTTTCTTTGCAAAATTAAAATGATCAAAAAATGTATAACTTACTAACTTGCTTTCACTTACTCATGCGCACAATTAATTGATGTTCATCATTCTTCTTGTACCTTCCATGATAGTTCGCAGCAATGTGTCGGAGACAATACCTATGTTAGACAAAGGGTGGTTGCCACATTGGACCCAAAGACTCCATTGCTGCTTTGATCCCAGCTCCGCGATCTGAAATGAAACAGATTTTTTCCCTCATGATAACATGTGCACGTATATTTCGGAGGAAAAAAGCCCAAGAATCTGTATCTTCTCCTTCGACAAGAGCAAAAGCAACTGGAAGAATGTTGCGATTGCCATCTTGGACAACTGCCAATAATAAAACTTGCTTGTATTTTCCATACAAGAAAGTCTCGTCGATCTGGACCACAGGCTTGCAGTATTTGGCAGCATTAACACATTGTGGGTAACTCCAAAAAACCCGGTAGAATTGGCATCGATCGCGAAGAACTCGATCATTATGGTATGCATAGGAGGTTTCGAAGTCCACAATTAAACGTCTGCACCAGCCTAAACCAACCTGGAAGTTTGTTGTAAGATGAATCCCATTCGCCATGAAGTTTGACAATGGCATTTTATTTTGCCAACCAAGCTTTTTTATAGGAGACGGTGTACCCATACTGCGATTGTATAGCTGAAATCAACACTGCAACAGCTATATGAGAGCTTGCTTTTACCATGGGCATGATGGCTTGGCATATCACTTCAGAGTCCAAGTTGGGATGATCTTGGTTGACCCCTCCAGTACAACATGTGTGAGGACTGTTGTATACTGTTAGGTCGAAGAAACTACTACTTGCACGCATTCCCCTTGAACTGGAAGGCATATCGACATTGAGATCGAAAAAGCTCGCAGTCGAATGCCTCCCCTGGAGCTTGAAGCCATCGTGTCAAATGGAAACTGCACAGATGGTTGCGTCGATGGCATATCCATATGGTTAAAGAAATTTGCAGATGAATGCCTTCCCCTTGAACTGGACGCGGTATTGCCATACAGATTGTTCGTGGACCCACCTCGGTACATGTCGTAAGGAGTTGCGGATGAATGTCTCCCCATTATGGCATTAAAATCATTACACATTACTGTAGTCGGGCTGTCAACTTGATCAACTTGTTCAGCCAGCCCATAGTGTGAGCTTAAAGATTGACCCCGAACAGCACGCACTTGAACAAAATGTGCATACATCTCAATAGCGGCGTCTGAATAATTACTTTGAGCTTCAACCATCATTTGTACATCATCATTGTTCGAAAGTCCGAACGCTGTATAAGTTAATGGCAACAATGATGTTGGAAATCTGTACTGCAACGACGACATTCTTCTGTTACTTCCAACATGAATCTTCCTCGAAATCTTCGTTATCAGCTCCTCAAGAGTTATGTTTCTCTTGAATGATATTTTAACATGCTCATTTGATACGAAAACAACGCCGGTTTCATCTTCTCGAATTTCACCATTATAATAAACAATAGCTGAAAAGTCGCGCCATTCTTTGAGTTTAAAAGTGCGGCAATATTATATCTGTAAAAAAAATAACTTAAACAAACCTGATTAAATAAATTATATATAAACGAAAATGTAATACAAATTTTTTTTACACATCAACGTAAATAATTTAAATAATATAATTTTATATTATTACCTGCACCGTAAAACTATTTCGACGTATGCTCCTGCTTTTCAATTTTGCAAACATAAAAATTAATTAAAAATAATTAGTATAATATTTTTTCAAATAATGATAATAAACAATAAGTATAATTAAAAAATTATAACAAAATTACCTTATAACGAAAAATCGCACGAACTTCTAAATCAAATATAAGAAGATTGCCAGAATTATTACTCGTTGACGGAATTGTTGTATTAATTTATAAGAGAGGAGAGATGCGAGAAGATGTGAGGAGAGATGCGAGAACCGGTATTTATAAACATATAAGGCATGGTACATGCACTCCGTTGTATGTAATTATTATATAGCGCGGATCAGAGACCGCATTAAATATAATTTTGGTACGGCGTATAGCGCGACCCTTGATCCGCGCTATACCCCTACGTGGCGTATAGCGCGGAGCAGGGGGGCGCTATACCCCACGTGTAACCCAGTTAGCGTATAGCGCGGTACAGGGGGAGTGCTATACTCCACGTGGCGCCAAATCAGCATATAGCGCGGTTCAGAGAGTGCGCTTTACTGCTACGAGTGTTAGATCGAGAAATATAATATGACCGGTGTTAGATCGGTATATATACCGATCACTGATGATTTTTGAGGAAAATCGCCTCATCGAGTGGGCACCTGGAAAGGAAAAAACCAAAACCATAATAGAGCCTCAAACTTGCTTCCCTTTTTCTTTCTTCATCTAGGGGGATCTATCCATCGTCTATCCTCCGATGTCTGGATCATCACTCGTTGGGGGGGGGGTCCTCAATCCAAAACCTATCTTCATTATCTTCTATTCTCTCCTTTGCTAAAATATGAGCTGCGACGTTACCGGCTCTTTGGGTGAAGTGAAACGTCGCTGCATGTAGCTTAGAGGCCAAAAACTTGCCATCCCAGATCATTGCACCCACCTCCGAAAGGTCTTCCTCATCTGATTGCAATTTCTGAATGATTGTTTTAGAGTCCCCTTCAAAGATAGCCCTCATACATCCTAAGTCAATTCTGAATTGGATTGCATGGACTGCAGCTGTTGCCTCCGCTGCAAAAACAGAGGTAGCCCTTCGGATTTTACGTTTTGCAGCCCCCAATATTTCTCCCACACTGTCTCTTATGATTATACCTGACCAAGCTTCTTTGTTTGTATGGGAGAAACTGGCATCAAAGTTTACCTTCACCCATGGAGCATTTGGTGGGAGCCATCGAGTTTGTTTTGGAGGTGGATGGGTCTGGATTCGGGCATTCACTGACGAATATTCTTTGCAGTGAGCAAGGATAAAGGCGGTTAATTCTCTCCTCGTAGTGATATTTTCTTCATGGTACTGTTTGTTTCGGGCATACCAGATTGCCCACAATGTAGTGAGAATCTCTCCATGCCTTTTTGATGTGTAATTATTAAACACCCAACTAAGCCATTCTTTAAAAGACCATTGAGACCCCTGGGGTGGCCAATTGATCCCTAGCGACCTCCATACGGCAGCCGCAAGGGGACATTCGCACAGCACGTGTTCCACTGATTCCACCAGGTTTGGGCATTTTGGGCAATGGGGATTCATGGTCACTCGCTTTTGATACATATTATGCATTGTAGGCACTAGATTTTGAACGAACTTCCAACCTTGAAGCTTTATCTTGCGCTGACACTCGTTTGACCATATTTTGTTAAAGATATCATGTCTTTGACCTGGCTCTGAGTTGCTGTTCAAGAGGAGTCTATACTAAATATAAAAAATGTATATTATATCTAAATTATGTCGTACTTAACATGAAATTATATGTATATACATATATATTTTCAAAAAGAAGATATTAATATTCTTTTATAATAAATTATATCTAATGCCACTTAATTATGGGTTTGATAATAAACATGTATTTTTCTATAGAAATTATAAATAAATTACTTAATTAAAATATTCTTTATCGTTAAAATTGAAATGAACGTCTAATATGATTTGATTTAATAATATTTTTATCTCTTAAATTTATACATTCTATAATTTTTTCCTAATTCAAAAACAATTCAATAAATTTAACCCTCCATATTAAATTTTTTATTATCAATTTAATCTTTTTGTGATAGTGTCAAACCAAGCAAACCCATCTGATCAAGGTAGTAGTTGTATAATTGCATTCTACCATACAATATCAATAAGTTATTGTTAAATTGTTATTATGCTAAAAAAGTAACAAGAAAGTAATATAAATTTTATGGGAGAATAACAATTATTTTAGGAGAAAAAAAAGATTAAAACGATAAAAGTTATAAGTATAAAGGGTTAATTTATTAAATTATTGCAAATTATGATCAAATTGATAACTCGTATAAGTTTTAAAGATTAAAATTGTTATTATATCAAGTTACATCACTGTTTTAACTAATATTTAATGATAGAATTACATGTTTATATCAATATTTGAATTGAATGACATATTTGTAATTTTTTTAAAAAGGTAAATTACTTGTTACCAAACTTATAATTAAGTGATCGTAAGTGTAATTAAACTTATTTTTTTTAACTATTAAACTAGTTGAAATCTATCATTTCTATATGAACTATAACCGTCGTCTCCAAATTTTCTCTCATGAGCTTTTCTCTCATCATCTAAGAATCGGTTACATGTGATAGATTTTCTTTGAATATAATCTCAACTAGATTTTCTCATCAAATCTAAGATTTAATTTTAGATTTATTTGATTTTGATGGAGAGTTAGAAATTTTTGTGGAGTGAGATGATGAGGAAAGTCTTGCTTTGATCAGATTTATGGTGATCGGAAAATTCATTTTCAGAGAATTACATCGGAAACCACTTGTTGATGGCTTATGGGGCGAAATCTGGGCTCTAATCGGGTATGGCAAGTTATCTGATTATGATGGCATTATGCTAGAGTGTGTAGCTCTAATTCTCTAGGTGAAAATATTGGATATGCAAATAATTAAATAAGGAAATATATTTTTAAAAAATATTTTCTTTTATATTTAAAAGATATTAGAGGACTTTTGATAATTATTTTCATTTAATTGTTGCTTTATTCTTGATTTTTTCTTATAAATATCAAGTTATAATTCGTTATTTTGTATACATATATTACTTTTTTTTCCACATTTATGGTTTTCAATTTGTCTTCGAAAGAAACAATATTAAAAGAGTCTTATTTTCTTATCTTAGACGTACGAAATCTGAAAAACTATATTAACTTTAAGGGGACAATAGTCACTTTAGAGATTACATCAATCTAAATACAATTATTTATAAAGAGATGACTACACAATAAAATAATTATATCATTTATGTTTTTCTTATTGTTTATTATTTATGTTATTCAATACAAATATCTTTATTTTACAACAGTTTTATTTATCAATAAAGAAGATGAGAATGATCTTACAATAAGAAAGGAAATTTAGTTAATTCTACATGTAAGCTTGTAATTGGTTTTCACAATAATAATAAAACAGAATGCCAATATATAATGGAGTTGTAAGAAAGAGAAAAAAAAATAAGAGTATATGAGAAAAAGTTCTTTTTTCTTTTTGGTGTAATTTTTGAAGATTTTAGAGATATTTGAAATAACATAATAGAAGAGATTTATTTTTTTGGGCTAATAATAATCACGATATATTTTAATAACACAAAATGATAATTTTTGTCCTTACAGTAGACTCAATTTATCATTTTTACGTTATCATATTTTCGCATTAGTTTAGCTTTTAAAGTTGTCTAGTTGTATCATTTTAGATCTTATCCGTAACTTAAAACTCAATTGAGGGTAATTTAGAGTTTAAGGTTTAGAGTTTATGATTAAGAGGTTATGGGATTATAATTTAGGGTTATCAATTTAAGATTTTAAGTTAGGGGTAAGATATAAAATGATGCAATTAAACAACTTTGAGGGCTAAATTGATGTAAAAATACGATAGGGACAAAAATGATAAATTGAGTTTACTACATAGACAAAGGTGGCCCTTAAGCCTTTTAACTAAATTTGAATAGATTTATTAAGAGAAAATAATCTCAGTGACCAAAAATGCCTTATAATATACGATTTTAACCAACTTTTTTGGATTTACCAAAATGACCAACTAAATCGCAATGCGATCGATAATTCGCAACACGATCTCCGGTATCACAAATCAGTTTCCAGATTCGCAACGCGATTCTGACTATCGCATTACGATTTCCCAAATTCGCGTTGCGATTTTCCTAATTCGCAATGCGAATACGTAAATCGCAACGCGAATTTGGAAAATCGCAATGCGATTACGTAAATCGCAATGCGAATACGTAAATCGCAACGCGAATTTGGAAAATCGCAATGCGAATACGTAAATCGCAATGCGATTACGTAAATCGCAATGTAAATACGTAAATCGCAATGCGAATCTGACTATCGCAATGCGATTTACATAGCACCATTCGTATTAACGCGTATTTTTTTTCAAATTCCAAACACGAATATATTAATATATCGGAACACTGAACCGTCCACAGTACATCCCGTAATCGCAACTCATAACCTAAAACCCTAAATCACAACTCAGTCTCATCTCCATCTCTCACTCTCTAAGGCGACATCCGTCCCCATCTCCGACGAAATCAGTCCCCACGACGATAACAGTCTCCATCTCCGGCGAAATCATTCACGGTCAGAAATGGAAAATCAACCAAATCAACTACCGAGGGTTAGTTTTTTTAATTATTTTTATTTTGAAATTTTTGCATTATTATTAGGTTTTTCATATTGAAATTGATGATAAGTTTACTGGTGTTTTCAATAATAGATTAACCATTTCACTTAGATTGCTTATTATATTCATTCGATTGCTGCCAATACTGCTAAACTGTTTAGTCTTTAACCCTGTGAAGTTAGTATTTGTCTTTGTTTTGTCTTTTGGTTGAAGTAATGCAATCCATTCAAGTTTCTTTCAATTTTAGTATTTGAAACCGAGAATGACTATCGCAACGAGTGAATCGCAACGCGAAAATGACTATCTCAATGCGAATTTGACTATCGCAACGAGAGAATCGCAATGCGATTTTCATTTCGCGTTGCGATTCTTGCGTTGCGATAGTCAAATTCGCGTTGCGATATTCATTTTCGTGTTGCGATTTAAAGTTTCAGAAACTATTCTTCTTCTGCAAATTGAAACTTAAATGAATTGCATTACTTCAACCAAAAAACAAATACTAAATTCACAGTGTTGCAAATTTAAGTTTGAAGAATAAACTACTATTCTTTATGTTTATTGTTCATATCTTCAGAGTGTAGTTTTTGGTATATCTAAATTGGTATGTTTATTGTTTTTGTAGAACTTTTATTCGGCTCAATTGACCTTAAGAAATAAAGTAAGCCTGGCCAAAACAATTGCGTCGAAGCTTTCACCTGCACAAAGAAAAATATTTGAGGATACTTGCTTCGGGCCATGGCTGAAAGTACAACATCCGGGTGGAGATGCTATGTTGACCCATCTGTTTCTTCAAACCATGACTAGCGATCTACCAGAGACTATACAACGTCGTGATGAAGAGATATGGTTTGATTTTCCACCGGCATATACGTGTTTTGGGCGGGAGGAGTTTTGCTTAATCACCGGTCTACGCTTTGGACACGATGATGTAGATCGGTACACTAGACATATTACCCGCCTATCATGGTTTTCCCGAGTTTTTCCTGAGCAGTCAACGGAGAAGTCGAATTTACACGTGGAAGACTTGACGAGATTATTGAATAAGAAAGATGGTTTTACTCAGATGGATAACGTCGATGTTGTCCGAGTATGCCTTCTAATACTTTTGCAAGCCGGCTTTTTAGGCAGAGAGGCCCGACAACCTATTCCTAATGATCTAATTAAATTGGTAGAGTGCCTAAATGAATGGAACCTGTTTCTGTGGGGTTCATATCTATGAAGAGCTACATGGAATAAGTTGTCGTCTGCCTTTAATGATCGGAAAAGTTTGCGTGGCGATGGTTCCAAATACACTTTGTCATGCTTTATTTGGGCCTTTAAGGTAATAATTTTTATATAATGTTTCCAAAATTATAATTAATTCTTTAACAATTACTAATGTTTGTTATTATATTGTTTGTAGATTTGGATATTTGAGGCCTTTCCCGCCATGCAGACATATGCATTAAAAACTTCTAATGATATTCCTAGGGCTATTTCCTGGAAGAAGAAACGATCCTTGCAGCAATGAGAAGATTTACTACCGTATACTACAATAAATAATGTAAGTTAACACAAATACTACCATATGTTTATAAACAAGTTATTACTAGTACACGTTTAACTTTGTTTGAGCTTTTATATTGTTAGGAGGCCAACACTCCATTACAGAGGCTGACACCCACGGAAGCTGAGCTTGCCACTGATTGGTGGCAAGCTAGTAAGCTTTTTTTTTGATGGCATGGATGATGAGCAGCCACCACTTCGAGAGCCATCACCTCACCCAGAGCCATCACCTAATCAACCCGAATATACACCTCCACAACGAGAGTCATCACCTATTCTGTCACATCATCGAGCCTCTTCTCCACCATAACCTCATGATA